TTCCAGGGCCACTTGTAACTCATGTAAAGTTTTACGCCTGAATACCCCGTCCTTTGAACCAGAAGCTGTGCACAAAGAGGACCATGTAGCCTGACAGCACACACTGTGGAGGCCAAATCACTGCCATACCTAAAGAAGCAGCCTGCTGAGCTTCTGACCATTCGATCAAGCACAGGTGTGCCTAAAGGGATCGACTTCCAACCACCTCTGACTATCCTGCAGCAGGGTTGAAGCTGCAGTCCAAGACACGTCAACGTTGCTTTCACCTACAATCCATCATAAAGCATAAAAAATGACTAAATGCATTCCTTCCCAGGAATCCCTCTGAACAGTTTCTGAACCTTTCAGATATCAGGGATTGGCTGTCTTGTCTTCCTAAACTGCTGCGGAACGTGAAGTCCAAGCCATTTTCACCGGTCTTTAAAGGTTTGCAGGGGTTTTTGCACATACTGTAGGCCTCACCTACATGCTCATGTCCACGAAATGAAAGCGCACACTCTGGAGCACCAGAACAAACAAAGCAGAACAGACGGTCCTGCTTTGGACGGATGAGGTCTGGTGACCCAGGTGGCTTGTAGGCAGAACTCAGAACAGTCTCAGGAGTGCAGGACACACAAAAAACTCTCTCGTTTTACAAACCGGATCATTTCATGGACTAAAAATGTTAAAAACTGTTTGACAATTGTAGTACACAAACGTAATAGGCACGTAATAGGCACGCCGTCGCACGCTGCAATGGGAACTAAGGGAATCACTAATGTATGTTGGAAAAAAATAATTATGTTATGGAAACATAACAGAATAAAAAAAACAGAGGCGTAAACTGTCGCTCTACATATGTCTACACTATGCTTGTTCAGCGACAAGAACTTGAGATATACGGAAAACAACCGGACTGTGGTGGTCTGAAATGCCTTTTCTTATTCGATGTGGCTCTTTAAATAAAATGTATCTATAACAACCCTAAAAACAGGGTCATGGGACTGAATGTTTGACAGTGGTGGCTGAGTAGGGATAACAGTAAGGACTGCAAGAAATGGTGACAAAGCAGTTTTTTCTCTTCATTTTTCTCCAATTTCATGTACAGAATCGCAGGCACCGTCACGAATACCAATGACAACAAGATGAGACAACACAGTTCATAGCTGCTGCCTCTGGGCAACAGCTCTGTCACTGACAGTTCAGGTCCTCTTGTACATATTTATAAGACCCACATTGTCATAATAAGGCAGACCTGATACAGTGATGAAGCAATTAACACATCTGAACGCAGGAAAGGCAAATAGGAGGAGGGCGATTGGACTACCTAGCCTGTTAGATACAGTAGTTAGCAGTTAACTGTCCCCAGGATCCAGGTGGTCATCCAGCCATTTCTTGAAAGAAACCATGGGCTTCAACACCACGTCTGGGCAGCTTGTTCTCCACTCCCACCACCCTCAATTACAAAGTACTGCACTACCAAGCAAAACAGTTTTCATTGAATGAGCATTCATTTTAATGTGGCAGATCATTGTCCATTTATTACTTGTGAAAGATGTAGGATTAAAACACAGACAGAATCCTGAAGCCTTGCATCCACCAACAAAATAAAGTTAAACAAAGGCAAAGGAATCTCTGTGTACCTATTTATCAACTTACCTAGATATTGTAAGCATAACTGTATTTACTGTTTATCTCTGATTTCTCATTGTATCATTGTATCTGCCTGACACATTAAGGGCCTATCAAGCTGTCTATCTATGACCCGTGGAGATACAGCAGAGGAAATGAGATTTCTCTTTCTGCAGCAGAGATATACTGTATGAACACCATTGCTATGAACTGACTGGTCAGCTGAACCCATCACTCGAAACTGAAAGTTACAAACATGCTGCAGAGACAGAAAAAGGGACAGCAAAGCTTAAATCCAGATACTGTTTTGCTATGAGGTCCAGTAAAGTTTGCAACATTTTTATTTAAGGTGTGTTGTACAACCAAAACTTATATATTTCAAACAGAAGATGAAAAAAAAATTTATATCTTTATTTAAATTATATTGTTACATCCTTAGGTGACTGAGAAGCTCTCTATTTTAGATAACGTTTGTGACACTTTGTAGAGATGTTTGAAGTTAATGTTTGCCGAGATCTGGGGGGTCCCTTGAGCAGAAGCAATTGTAAAGTTTACCTTAGTATACCTAGTTAAGTTGTGGATTAATGATTGTCAAGGAGCAGTACACACACACAGACAATATAAGATCATCTTAAGAGCACAGGAAAAAAAGGAAGAAACAAGCAGCAGGGAAGAAGCAGAGAAGAGGAAGGAGTCCAGAGGAGTTGGGACTTGAAGCTTGCGCCAGGCGAGAGCCCCAACTTCATGATCATGCAAATCAAAACTTGACTGGAGCTGAGTATCTGAACCTTGTTTGAGAGAGCGTGCTTGTCTGCGTTTTTAGTTTCCTGGATAAAAGATACCTCAGTTAGAAACGTCTTTCTTGCTTTTTTATGGATAGGGATATAGGCTCCCATTTATTTTGTGGCATCCAGGGTGCATAGAGAGGGATTTAACTGCAGGCTGCTTTGCATTTAGTTAGAAGGCAGCTCATCTCTTATGTGGCCTCGGTAGGTATTATGAGTTTAATGCTTAGTAGTAGTCTAGGGTTCTCTGGAAGACCAGAATGTTGGGCCTCCGAAACACCTTGTTTGTAAATACTGTATATTGAGTAACAACTTGTGTGTTGTACGTGTTAAATAAATATCGTAATCGTAATAAATATTTGTTTAACCAAGCGTGCCTGGATTATTACTCCTCTCAACAAAGCTGTGCCAGAGAGCAAAGAATTAATGTGCCTCTAATTATACCAGCCACTCAGGTGTATTGCTAGAAATCACTTACAAGCTGATAATAATTATTTCACTTATTGCCTAAACTGCTCAGCGAATTCATGATTTTCTTAACCCCCCACTGGTAACAATATGTAAATTGCCCCGGCACCATTCCTACCATTCTGACAGGTGTCCCAGCTCGGATCAGACCGGGAAGAGGCTTGATTCACGCAGGTCACAAAAAACGACAGCCCCAAAAACCACGCCATTTTTTGACTGGGGTGAAAGCTCCATCTTTCGCATTACGCATTTCGCATTTCTAAATGGCTAATTATTAGGCATTCACTAAGAAAGAAGTCAATGACATACCCCAGGCTGTGGCACAACGCAGCTCATTATTAAACAGTATTGGCACAGAAGAAGCAGGACTTGATGGTATCTTGCCAATTTGCACTAATCTGTTATAATTCTTTGAACAAAAACCAACAGTAATCTCACACAGATCAATATGTAGAGCACAAATAACTGAGATATTTAGAATTCCTTTGAAGAAGTTTCTCAAAAAAGATCAAGTCTCATATTTCAGGAGGTCAACATCTTGGGAAATGTTTGAACTGAGAACTGATTAATAGACAGGAAACAAAGCCCAGATAAGGGATGAATACTGAGATTGGGGTGAGAGCACCACGGGAATCTCTGCTGGGACCACAGCTGTTTCGAACCTAGATCAACAATTTAGATTCAAGTACAGCTGAAACAGTAGTCAGGCTTGCAGATAACACCAAACTAGGAGGATTAGAAAAAAACTATAGAAACAGCAAATCAAATTTTAAAAGATTTAGATAAATTCATGACTAGGAGTAGACAACTGCAGACAACTGCATGCAGGTAGCAAAACCAAACTGTAGATATATAGCTGCTACTTATGAAAAAGACTTAAGTGTTTATGCTGCCACATCATTTATATCTTCTAATTAATGTGGGGAAGCCATTAAAAGGCAAACAAAATACTAGGATATAGGGTTACAGGTGTAATATTTAAATCCAGGGATGTTAAAACTGTACAAGGCACTAATAAGAGCTCATTGAGAATATTTTTAATATAATTCTGGTCACAACATTATAATATCTATATTTCATCCAGAGAAGGACAACGAGATACTTCTGGGAGTTAAAGAGAATTTCTGACACAGTCTTGGAACAGGGAAGAATACGAGTAGACCTGATCCAAGTATTCAAAATCCTCAAAGCCATCCACAGAGTCAGCTCTGTGGACTTCTTCAGAGCGAAGAGTCAAACGCAAACCAGACGTCACAAGAGGAAACTAAAGAGAAGCGTTTTTAAAGCCTAGAGCTGGAGTCTCTTCTCTACCCAAAGGACTGTGGGAGTCTGGAACGAGCGGCCCAGCCGTGTCGCTAACGCCGATACCCTGGCCTCTTTCACTACGCGTGCGGATGAGACCCACAAAACAATTAGCAACTAAATACCAGAAGGGCCAGATGAGCTTGATGGCCGCCTCTCGTTTTTAACCCTTCTCAGTTTCGTTCACCAAGTGCCATTATCAGTGGGGAGTTTGGCTACCTAGAGCACAGGGGAAGAAGCCAAGACCAATGGCATTCCTGTATCCGTGAACCTCTTCACAACTCACGACCCACTCAGAACTAAATCCCTGCAGCAGTGAAGAGAACAGCTAGTCATCATCAGACGTCAGAGCAACGTCTGATCCTTAACCTCACCTGGACCAGAGCCAAGGGTTATATTACAATATCACGGCCTTAGTATTTCACCTAGAGCAGCAACTTGGAGTTCATACAAGTCAATACAGGCTGCCGCCACAGGACTGATTGTTTTCTCGTGAACACTGACACAAGACAGCCACAGAGCCTGAAATCCACACAGCTGTGCCACAGACAAGCAGACCGACACACAGACTGAAGTAAACAAGGCGGACAGACAGAAAGACGAGCAGGCAGAGGAAGACGGACCAGGGCGGCCACGGGGGAGAAGAGCACGTCAAGGAGAGAAACGGTCAGAGGCAGGTGGTCAAGAGCTCGGTCAACAAAGAGAGAAAGACGAGGACAGAGGGGCAGGCGAATACAGACAGAACCGCACGAAGAGAGACAGGAAAAAGGACGAGAGAGACACGCACACAGGCTGGCGGGCCCCCTCCCGCCTCAGCCCCCTTCCCCGTCTCACCTGCAGCTCACACCAGGCCACTTCCACCCAGGTCTCGGTGTCCAGGCCCTTGTAGACGGTCTTGAAGGCCCCCCGGCCCAGCTCGATGTCGAACTTGAGGAACCGCCCGCCGGGGGAGGTCGCCACGGCCTTCATTTCCGCCTCCTCCTCCTGCTCCTTCTCCGTGCGCCCTCTGGGGGGGGCAGCCGGGGCCGGGGGGGTCTCCCTCCCGCCGGGGGCCGGGGAGGCGGAGGAGGGGTCGGCGGCGGGGCCGGCGGTGGAGGGGGCCGCGCCGGCGAGGGGGGCGGCGGGGGGGGCGGCGTCGGTGGAGAAGACGCTGTCCGAGTCCTGGCCCTGCGGGGCCGTGCCGTTCGCCCCAGCGCCGCCCCCTTCCCCGCCCCCCTTGGGAGACGGCCTCTGCCCGGCCAGCTCCTCCTCGTCCTCTTCCTCGCAGATCTCCACGCTCTTCCGGAAGAAGCGCTTGTTCTCCCTCCTGCCACCGGAGGGGTTGGCCGGAGGGGAGGAGGAGGAAGCCCCTCCCACCCCTCCGCTCTGCATCCCGCCTTGGCCGGGCGTCTCAGCGGAGGCGGGAGGGAGAGCAGGTGCGCAACGGGCCGCCACGCCCCTCTCTGGGTCCGCCTCTCTCCCCCGGTCCCTCTCTTTCTCTGCTCCGCTCACTCCATCGGGCTTCTCGGAGGAGTCCTCCGTGCCCGTGGGCTCTCCGGGGTCGGTGGCCATGGATGATGTCGTGGGAGTGCGGACCCCCCCCTCCCCCCTCCTCCTCCTCCTCCTCTCTCCTCCCGGACTGCCTCCGTCCTCCCTCGCGGTCCCGCGCTCCCCGTCCTGTCGGCGGCTCCCGTCGGGAAACGTCCGCTGCGCCGACCCGGCCCTCTCGGTCTCCCCTTCCTAGCGGCCTTCCCTCGCCCGCTGTGGCACCATCCCGTCCCAGAATCCGATCCGGAAAAGCCTTCTCCACGCAGTACCCCGCAGCCTCGGGCCGGAAGACGGGGAGCAGGGGAGGGATTTTAAGAATGGAAAATCCGGAACGATAACATAAACGAGCCAAAGCAGGCAGAGCGTTTGGTGGTCAGGTCAGGATTTTTTTTCAGTGTGTGTTGTGACGATCCACAGGAGAATAGTGGGGTATCTTCAAGCGTACCCTAAAATAAAAAAGAATAAAGAAAGGGTTGATTAGCACTTTGCAATATCCTGGATTGTTATTATTTTGAGCTGAGCTTCACTGCTTTCCTGCATCACTGTACGTGGCAATATTTTAACTCCCTGTAATTAGGCAGCAACGTTTCATGACTCATGTTTCACACAGGTCGGAGACATTCCTGGGATGAACAGGAGCTTAAATTAAACTCGCCCAAGGCAGCAGCCAAGCAGCTTTCCCAACTGTGCAGGCCAAGAGCAAGCATTCAAAACAAAAAATGCAACGTAATTGACAGCCTGGGTAGGGAGACCAAAGATTTCAACATTTATCAAACACCAGAAATGACTTCCTTGAGTTTTATTGGGAATCTGAGCAAATTATGCACCGTAAAGTAAAAAGCTTTGAAGGATGTCTCTGTACATTTTCTGCTATTAAACCGTAGTTCTGTAGGGCCACAGAGATTCTGATCCTTTTTTCAGCTGGAATAGAAACCTACTGTACGTAAATTATTATTAATTTATTTGCTCTGTCCAGATCAACTTACATTCACACAGCCAGGTATTTCACCAGAGCTGTGTGGGTGAGGTGCTTCACTCAGGCCACAACAGCAGTGTCTCTCTTGGGATTCAAACCTTGTAACCTTCCAGTTACAAGACCAGAACCCTTGAATACTGTGCCACACTGCTCCCTATGATGGAACAGGGAGTTAAAGCCAAACCCATAATTCTGTGTTTTTAATCCCTTTTGTCTGATACCACTGTATGAATGCGTTAAAGTTATTATAAAATGACTTCATAAAAAGTCTTCTTATAAATTGCTGGGAGAGGTCCTGTTTAAAAAGGTTTTATTTTTAATATGTTTACATATGAAACTCCCTGATGGATTGTGACCTGCTCTACCAAAACCAGGCTTCTCACAGATAATTCTCCAAGTTCTGTAATTAAGTTTACTCACAAACTCAAAGAAGATGAGCTTTCAAGAAGTCAGGGACAATACTTTTTACTGCCCTTATCATCTCAGGCCAGTTTCCAAGAACAAACTTGTCAGAGCCCCTAGCTTCAGCCTGACAGCCCTCCCTGAAGACCCCGGATCTGACAGCGCTGATCTTAACGTTTGGCTTTGTTCCTGAAAACCAGCGGCACCGGCACCGCAGGGCAAGGAGCTCAGAGCGAACCTACGGAACAGGCTTTTGACACGCCTTCCTAGAAAAGCATCCCCTCACCCCCAGGACAGCAAACAGCAAAACTTGTTTCTCCACAATCTCCGAGAGGGGAAGCAGAGCTGCTGAGCCCCGGCCAGGATTATAACAGCGCCTCCGCGGTGAGGAACCAGCAGCCGACACCCCCACTGCCGAACAGGAAACATTCCAAATCAGCAAGTCAGCAGGGCCTGGCCGACACCAAAGGTCATGTCGTTTGACAGGACTTGAGGAACTTCCCCGGCTAGGAGCCTCTCACGGGACCGAACAGTTTCAGAAAGTGAGATCTGAAAGGGTCTACAGACTGGTCTGCCCGCCAGGGGAGACAAGGGTCGCCCCGGACTCCATGAACTCATCATCCGATCCTTCTTTTTCTGGAGCCTGCGGACCCAGGACCTCTCCAGCTCTCCAGCTACCCAGCGCCACGCGAGTCACAGCTGCAGACTGGGCCTGGGAGGCGTTTGGGATTCATTAGCTTCCAGTTTTCCATCCGTCCTGCCATCTTTTGAATTGGCTACACTACTCTGCTCTCCTCCCCACTGATATCTGATGTGTGGTGAGCGTTCTGGCGCACTATGGCTGCCGTCGCATCATCCAGGTGGGGCTGCACATTGGTGGGTGTGGAGGGGATCCCCATTACCTGAAAAGCGCTTTGAGTGGAGTGTCCAGAAAAGCGCTATATAAGTGTAAGCAATTATTATTATTATTATCATCTTTTAACCACTTCTTCCAGTTCGGGGTAGTGGGGCAGCCGGAGCCTACCCCTGCAAGCAACGGGGCGCCAGGCAGGGTAGAACATGGACAGGACGCCATTGCTTCACAGGGCAAGACACACAGACACGCACAAGACCATCAGGCCAGGGCCACTTTTCCCAGTAGCCAATTAACATATTAGTATGCTTTTGCACTGTTAGAGGAAACCAGAGCACCCAGAAGACACCCACAGAAACACGGGGAGAACATGCAATCTCCACACAGACAGCACCCCAGGGCTCCAGAACTGCCAGACAGCAATGCTAACCACTGAGCTATCACGGCCCCTGCTTAACAATTTCCAATTGTCCATGTCTCAAAGAAGGAGGCAGCGATTCCTACAGAACTCTACCTTTTCACAGCAGTTAAAGTATGGAGCTGCGTCAGCATGCGTGGGCTGCAAAGGAAAGGTTAATTCGATGCTGAAAAGAGAAGAAAAGAAACACAACCTGGAAAAATGGAAGAAGGCTGTGGAGCCTTCTTCGAGTCTCCCGGAGAAGTCTCCACACAAACGTCTTCTCTTTTCAGCCTGGAATCAACCTTTACTAGTTCCTTTAATAACAGGCACTCAAAAACGCTTTCACCTTGGACAAGATGGACCTGGCTTGAAGACAGGTACCTCCAAAAGACAGGTTACTGATCTGTCAAAGACCAGGGCTAAAAAAATAAAAATAAAGGCACAATAGTACTGTGCTAATTATATTATTTGTATTGCTTGGCAGGAGCTGAAATGACCTGGAATGATCTAGTGATCAGCACTTACAATTGAGGAGCTGCTATCACACTGTACAAGGTAGTGATAATCGAGAGGAAACGAAATCAGACGATTTCAGATTTTCAGCCTCATGCATGGTTAAAAACTTGTTGGCCCAAATCAAAGAAATATAGGAGTTACATTAATTAAAACGTATCGTCTTCACTGGATGGTTAAACTGGAATAAACTGACAATACACTGTGAAAATGATGCACAAACACTCCACCACAGAGACTTATGTTGTAACTCCACCCGGTAAATTCGATTTTGAAATACTGAAAACCCATTTCATGAACTGTAGCTCCAGTGAACTGACAGATCACTTTCAGAGTCTCTCACTCTCAAAACATAATGTAACTCACTGGCTTAGTGAGCTAGTGAGCTGTCCACACAGATTATTACAAACACAAGCCCCTCAGAAGTCACCCCCCATGTGGAATATGACTCAGACTCCAAATGTGTCTCTGCTTCAGACGAAACCTCTGAAATATTGATATGAAAGAGTCTGAAAATTCACATCATAGAATCTAGCAACAACCATGTCTAATGTCACCCTCTGTCTTGCTGCCTGGGATCACACCATCCTAGAATCACATTTACAAAACAAAAATGATGTACGGTGTGCATATATGAAAAAATACACTAAAAGTAAAGAAATTACAGTAAACCCTCAGTTTAATGGATAAATATGAGAGAAGGGTTGACATTTACTGCCGAATGTTTGTGAAATCACGAATGACATTCTCAGCTCCAAAGTATAAATAATGTATATACTTATATACTGTATACATTTCAAATGCATCTGCATGTATACATATGCTTCCTGGATATTTTGACTTATCTTTTAACAATTAAATTATAAGAAACACAAACAACACCCATCTTAAGCAATCGGCCTATCTATATATTGGGTACCACTGATATTTGTGAATTTTAAACTTAAGTAGTATTTATTTTTACCTTATTTTATTGTTTGTGCATTTCCTGGTTATTGCTGGGAAAGATACGGTAGATATTTCTGATTTTACAAAGTTCCTGTTAAATCCAATGTCCGGTAAAGGAAAGTCAGTTAAAATAGGGTTTTACTGCCCAGCAGTTATAAACTGCGAGCACACTGGGAACATCTTCTATTTTATTGTGGAGACTGGGGTGCTTTCTCTGTTTCTCTGTCGTGAATCTCCACAATACTTTGCTTTTCGGAAAAAAAAAGCAACAGTAAGTGTGTCACCTTACATTTTCCGTCTTTGGAGACAAGGGGAGAGGAAGAGCAAAAGAAAGCTGGTGAATCCTGACATTCACGTTTGCCGACATTTCTTCCAGAGGTACAGTACAGTACCCCTGGCCTAAGCTCAGCTGCAAGACAACATCCTGGATTCTGGGAGAAAGTGCAGACGGTAACTCGCGGTCCAGATGGAGCACACACAGGCGGACTGCACTAACAAACTAACAAATTACAGGGGAAAAAAAAAACAACTTAAAAAGGTTCAGCCGCTAACCGGAAGATTCTGAATCTGTGTGAAGAGATCTCGCTGAGCAGAGAGATATCGGCATGGGTTAAAAACGGACTGTCCTGAACACGAAAAACAAATATTGCAATAACAGATGACTATGTGTGGGGAAACAAAGACCTTCTGTACAGACTCCGCTGCTCATCATTCTAGAAGAGCACCTTCTAACAGCTTTGGCCATACCAGAACCCAATTAATAGACGCACAATAATACACTGCTCGCCCAGCACTGCACCAGCAGCAGAACAGGTTACACTCTGTAAATAACACAGCCCTCATACCGCTGGTCTGACGCCGAGCTCAGGGTTATGTCTAGATGCGTTTCATAATCACGTTAAGCTAAAAATTGTCAGCTTCAGCCACTTAAGCGCAAACAGCTTTCGCCACATTACAGATACGATCGGCCTGCCTTCGAAGTCAGCAGTCTTGCGTTCGGGAGCTGAAGCGGTGCGGAAGGGCAGGGACTCTGGCCGAGAGGGGAGCACCACGGACGCGCTGTGTAAACGCACTCTCACAGGGTACAAGAGTGAAGCTCTGAAACAGGCAGAAACCATTCAAACCTGAACGCTCGAATCCAGCTAAGCGACAGCCCTAGAAACATGCTACACAGACCTCCTGCCCTCCGCGGTGTTTAAATATAGCCCAGTCGATGGTTACTTCTGGCGGCTGTAATGGCGTGAGCTACAGTAAGTGACAATGAAGACACAGGCGCACTCCAGAGCAAAACACATGGAGGCTCTTCTATGAAGTGTGTATTTTACTCCCCTCTTTCTGAATTTCCAAAACAGAA